AAAGTTGTTTGGTTTATGTTTTGAAGCAGAATGGATATGTGTTTGCAGGAAATTGTGGTCCTAGGGGTGATGATTCTTATAAAGACATGTTCGGACAGGGTGGGTTTAACTCGTCAAGGGAATCATCATCTGATTTTGTGCCATTTCCTACCGAGAATTTCTCAGAGAGGCAACGTTTGAACTTTGTGCCTACCTATAACTCAGCTACCTCGGCTCCAGCGTCTTCTTTAGCTGAGATGCTAATCAGACATTCTCAGGAACCATACTTTAAGCGTATCGCGTCTCCTGGCGTTTGTGCTTCTAGCAATGCTCTTGATGAGAAACATCCTGGGAATTACCATCCTGGCTATGATAAACCTGGAAATATGAATGTTGTCCCTGGTCCTCCTGTGACGCCTTACATATCTGTTACAGATAGTATTCCGTCTTTGCCAATGCCAAGCTTGAAAACACAAGCTCTCTTTGATGGTAGTCAGACTGGAATTCATTTAGGAGATGGAAGATCGTTCCCGAGCAACAGTGGTGTTTCTAGTTATGCGCCCGAGAATTCTATGGGAGTTCAATCCAATTTGCGTGGTTCTTCTGTCGAACCAGTTAACTTTGATGTGTTGCTTGGATATGGTGAAGCCACTGGTCATATCAAGCCTTTATCTGAGAATCCAGATTTTTGCTATCGGATAGTTGACTCGCCAGGTTCGACAAGTCCCCGATCTTCCCACCCGCTACAGTTTAATATCAACTCCTCGGGTCCAGTATCTAAGGATAATGTAGAAGGTAGTGGTGTCTCTTCCCTTTATCAAAGGCCAAATACTTTGATTGCTGACAATGAGAATGGTATTTCTGAAAGCTCCTTGAAGAATGCGATTGGAAATTCAAATTGTTATGAGCCTAGCTGTTGGACTCACTTCATGGTATCTTCTGAAGGACCTGCATCTCCCACTACGTTTTCTATGGGAAGTGAGCCATGTGGTGCAATGAAAGCGGATAGTGGGAATGCTCAGTTTGCTGTCAACGATAAATCCCCTTTCGAAGGTAGTGCTAATCAACCTAGTGAAGATGTTCAAATCAACGAAAAGCCATGTGAGCTCCAGGAACAAATGTTTGATATAATAAATAGAGATAAGAAGACCACGTTCTTGACAGATCTGGGTATCAAAGAGAGTAGTAGATCGAATGCAGATGATGTCTCAACTGACCGATCACCTGAAAGGCATTTATGTGATCAAGGAGATTTCCCATCTGCGACTTCTTCTCCAAGAGTTTCTTCCGTGGTTAATGCTATGCATAATCTGTCAGAAGTGCTTGTTTATGAATGCTTCAACAATGGAAGCTGGCTGAAGCTGGAACAACTTGAGAACCTTGATAAAGTAGTAGACAATCTCACTAAGTGCTTAAAGAAAATCACCGGTAATAAGACAATAGCAGGGGAAGCATCACTTCCAAGTCAGGCTACGCGTGTTTCTAGTCCAAACATGGTTAATCTTAATGAGGTATGTGATGCAGCTCGACTCTGGAATTTGTGAATTATATCGTAGGTAGAAGTATTTAATAAATAGTTTTCTTGCATGCTCTATGAGCTGATGATTTATGAGCACCACTTGTGATAACTAGAATTTTCACATGAGCTTAGGTAAAATCTTGATTTTGTGCTATGTTCCAGTTCTATTTGGTTTTTGATAGAATTAAACACATAGCTTGTTCTTGTTTGCTGTTAGTTGCTTAATGGTACCCTTTTCAGGCCCCAAAGGTAGTTGCTCAAGACTTTCAGGAGTTTAACGTGAAGCCAATAGACAGCTTTGGCTTCAAAGAGTCGGTGGATAAGAATGAGATGACCCAGGTATTTACTTAGTATTTATTGTGTGTAATTTGTGAACTCTTGCCTACTGAATCTTATCTTTGCAGAGTATTAAGAACATACTTGCTTCCAACTTTCCTGATGGGGAAGAAAACCACCCACAAACTCTCTTGTACAAGAATCTCTGGCTCGAAACTGAAGCTGCCTTATGCTCCACAACTTGCATGGCTCGATATCATCGGATCAAGAACGAGATTGATAATCTCAAACTGCAGAATGAAGGTTGGTAACTTTCAAACCAGCCGTCTCCTCTGTGTGATAGTATTAGTGCCTAGAGCTGCATTGCAAGAACATTTTCTCCACAATCCTGTCATAAATGCCACTGCTATGCTTACTTTCTTATATCAGATAATCCACATGCAGTTAAACACAATAAATGCTGAGATTAGAATGCTGTTGCTCTCTGGTCCTTTTTAGGATTCAAGTAAATCATCTGTACACGATTACTTTCTGTAAGAATGGTAGGCGGTACTTCTTTTATGTATCAGATTTAACCCGGGTATCAGCCAATTTTGCTTTAGATATAGTATCAGAAATGCTTACCCTACACATCATCTGGTGGATAACCCCCATAAATATATGTTTAACAATTCATCTTTTGCTTTTTCTTCTCAGAGATCTCTGCAGATGCATCAACCTTTATGCAGGAACCTGTACTTAACCCCCAGAAATCGGTTGCCATCATGAACAATGTGGAGCAAGGGACACCTGAATCGATCATCAAACAGAGAAGCAATTGTGGGAACAATGTAATGAGAATGAGTCATGATACACCACAAAGCTCGAGATTCAACTCAGATCCCGTGGATGCAGTATTATCGCTTATTTCCAGAAGCTTTACGGGTGGTTTAGAACAGAAAAATCATGGAAACTTTCCTGATGCTGCAACCTCTGGAAAGATACCGGACACAAGACCGCAGGAATCCCCTGCATCCACCATTGAGGACAAACATAATGGTGTTATAGACAGGTTTCAGATTCTGAAGCATCAGGAAACAAAGCGCAAACTTAAGTCTCAAAACTGCCCAGGTTCAGACATTGATGTTATAGACCGGTTTCAGATACTGAAGAATCAGGAAACAAATCGCAAACTCAAGACTCAAAACTTCCCAGAGACAAAAATGGGTGACCAGGAGGACAATCCAGAAGCTTCAGATACGGTTAATACTGGCAGAAGCAGCCATGTGAGTAATGTTATGGATAGGTTCCAAATACTGAAACGCCGGGAAGCTGAACAAGTGCAGAAAACTCTCAACAGCTTGGATTTAGATTCAGATTCTGACAATGACCAGCCAAAAGCACAAATGCGTAATCATCATTTCTGGTCAGCCTCGATGATGACAAGACATGGAAATCCTCAGATCGAGGCACGCGTCGATGATGAACCCTCTGCATCTGGCAAAGGCTACGAGAGCCCGGCCTCGGATTGGGAACATGTCCGCAAGGATGATTGAGTATTGGAACTTCCTTGGGTAAGGAGTTTCGATCCGTTTATGAAAAAAGCTTGTTTATAAATAAAAAGGATTTGTGAAACGTTTGTGTATGATAAGGTATGAAACTGCGTGGAGTTGGTATTTGCTGATTTTCAAAATGTGGTCTAGCTTTTTAAGTTATAGAAGTAGCGAATCGCTTTTGTGTATTCTACAAAGAAAAACATAATATCTTTATAAAAATATCTAAGAAGACATCCGTAAACTTACAAGTTTCTACAAAAAGCACTAGAAACTATAGGCTGTTGTTATTTGTACCCTCCTACAAATCGCAATGATGAGATCTTTGCATCTTGCGAAATGATAAGATCTTTCTTGTTCTCTGATTAGGTAAATAAAAGATTTATAATTTGACTAAACTTTAGACTTATTTTTACTATATGCCCCTAATATAAAACCAGCAGCTAATACGTGTGAAGTAACAAAGGTCTAGGGTTAGGGCTTTAAATTATGGCAGAAGCCGAACGTCCTCGGAAAATCCAAAAGTAGAATCCGACGATCTACTCATAGAGTTATTACTTCGTGTTCCGAGTAAACATGGAGTGGCCACAACGTTTTTGTCTAAACGATGGAGATTTGTCAGGACCAAGTTTTTTTTTGTTTGATAACTTGTCAGGACCAAGTTGCCTAGACTGATCTACATAAAAACCAAAAGACAATGATGAAAAAAGCAAGAGCGTTTGGTGGTTTCTTGAACAGTCCATGCGATTATACGATGCACGTACCTATATTAAAACGCTTGTGTATTCAACTTGGTCCACAATGTCCTGTTGATGTTGATGTTGTAAACTGGGTTACAAAAGCAGTTGATTGCTGCGTACGTAACCTATATCCACAATGTCCACAATGATCATTGACTTTATGCTATCCTCTTGCTCGATTGAGTCTATGCCTCGTCTTGCTAAAGAGAGATTGGTGGTTTCGGAGATCACTTTCTTTGATCAAGCGTATGAGGCTATCTTTAAACGATACAATGGATTCTTTGTGTAACGCCGTTAACTACTCTCGGCTTATAGAGTGTGCTATACAACTATATGAGACAAACTTGTGTAAATCACTTGTGGTCTAATTGCCCTAAACTAAAAGTTTTTATGGTCAAAAATAAATATGAGAATGATGGAGATGAGGATCATGTTCCTGTTTTATGGAACCAACCGAGTTCTGTTCCCAAATGCTTGTCTTCTCATCTTGAGATCTTCAAATGGAAAGAATATGCAGAAAGAGAAGATGAAAAAGAACTCATAAGATACATTCTAGGAAACTCCAAATGTTTAAAGACGGCCGGAAAATCGCTAAAGCCAACCTTGAGTGCTGAAGAGAAACATAAGATGATTGAGAAGTTAGAAGGTTTCAACTTCTGTGCTTTTATTTTCTGCTCGAATGTTATTTCTCTGCAGAATCAATTTCGGAGAAACGCCATTCTTACTGAGTTCAACGTATTATATAAATACAATGTATGAAGTACAAGGTGATCATACTGATGATAGGTGTTTTGGTCATAGACACCCCGAAATTAGAGGTTTTTGAAACCTTTGGTGCTTTGGGACATGATTACTCGATTGAGTATATGTTTCATCTTGTGAAGACATTTATTGATGTTGCGTTTTACCCTCATGACAATCTCCTAAGATCTCTTTCTTCGGTCGTGTATCTTGAGCTATGGTTAAGTGATACAATGGTTCCATGGTCTAACACCATTTTCTACTCTCGACTTATAGAGTGTAGTCTTTATGACAAACTTGTGTGAATGGCTGGTGGTTTTGCTCTCTAATTGTCCTAAACTATTGGTTTTTGTGGTCGACAATAGTTATGAGATTGATAGAGATGAAAATCATGTCCCTGGTTTATGGAACCAACCAAGTTCTGTTCCTAAAATGTGTAACCTGAGCTTTTGATGTTACTCAGTTTTTTTGTTCTTTCTAGTTTTCACATTTTTTCTCCTCAAATACAGTGTCGGATAAAAACTTTAAAAGTCAGATAATACAGAAACATGATAACTAAATACCCCAAAAGGACAATAATAAGTGTCGAAAGTATTCGAAACAATCTCTGCAAGTGAAGAAAGTATAGAGATTCATTGTCTCTTATGTAGTGAGTTCCATTATTGCACTTACAATGTCTCCATCGTGACTCTTAAGTGCCTTAACCGCTTTGCTGCGGGAAACTCCAGCCTGAGTCATGACCAAATCAATGTCACGATCCTCCACACCGGTCTCATCAACTTCC